AGTCACTCTGGCTAGTACATCAGGGTTCAGAGCTAGAAAAGTTTCCTTTGGCTCTCTACAACTTCAGGTGTATATGATGCCTTAAGGTCCTTCTCCACCAGTTCCTGCAAAAATTTCCCAAAGTTTACTGAGATAAGGTTAAGATATTCATCTACTAGCAAGAAGTTTTTCATCTTAGTTGAAGCATGCAGAGTGCATTTGAGTATCTAAAATATTGAAAGCAAATCAGTGTTCAAAAATCACAGCTTTTTATAGCAAAAGTTGGAATTGAAAATTCCAAGTCAACTCATCTTGTAATAGATCAGAATTTCAAAAAACAAGGAAAAGTTAAGCATCATAGATAATCAGATTGATCCGACCTTTCCTAGGGAAAAGTTGCTTTGGGAAATGTGGGGTATGTTACATCATACAGCAAGGATGGTGAATATACTTGTCCAAATCATTAGTGAATGCCCAATACATTTAGAGAAACTTCTGTGGGATAGTGCATACAGTTATGTTAGCCAGATCTCTGACTATGATGCTAACTGACAACAGGCTTACAGGGCATTGAGTACAACCTCTTACCCTTGAGGTTTTTTCACCATTTTCTGGTTGTAAATGAAAAGCACCAATTCCAATGGGAAGGAGACAAAACTGTAAATGAATATTTTGCATCAGTAACTGAAATTACTTTGACTACTTTATGATCAGTGACCAAAGCTTTTACCCCTGAAGGTATCATGACCTGTTTGTTTAAAAAAAACAGCTTTTCTCCTGAAACAAATTAAGTATAATCAGAATAAATATGTAAAATCATGTAGAATTTGTATAAATAAATTGTAAATTATACTTATGTAACTAACAGATAATATCGCTGTTTTCTATGGTAGTAGTAGTGTCAACTAGGGGCCATGTCAAATCCGTTAGATCAGATAAATACAAACAAACAAAAAACTTAAGAGATAAAAAATCTCACAAAATGATACACATTTAATCATAATTCATAAATTTCAAGTGACTTTCTCATGTTATGTTAATGTATAGCTCACTTACTATACCTCAGGAAAATTGATACACACCTACCAGACCATAAGTCACAACCTCACATAGCAACATAAGTTTGTAATGGCTTACAAGAAGAATATCACATTTGGTTAGAAACCTTCTACAAACAAACACTCACTAACATTATCACAAAACTTAGCCTGATACTTGAAAAACGGATATTGCAGTATTTTCAGAGTTTCCAGTTATTATTAATAGTGAGACCAATTATCAACTTCCTAAGATCTTATCTAACAACCTGTGGATCTCTACAGGTCTTCCTAATCGTGCTATTCATTATACATCCAATACATCAGTGACAAACTGTGTTAATAAATTTCAGCCCATTGGTAAAAATATCATATAATTACCAACACTTGGTGATTACCCTTCTCACTTTTGAGCAGAGAACTAGCTATATGTAGAGCAGCTTTTTCTAATAAAGGACCTACAACTTTATGTCAGAGTTCCCTCAGAAATGAACGATTTTCCCTCTTGGCAAGACATGTTGTACAGTTTCTACATCAACTCTCCATGTTTTTACATTAATGTAATCAGAAAACTGCTTCCATGCATTTTCATCATGGGAGACACATCTGCATGCTCATCAATCCTTTGAGCTCTGAGAATTACCAGCTGTATCACAAGTTAGCTACACTTTTCTGACTAATACAACACACCATTCTGCACTAATAATTGAATACAGAAGAGTCAACTGTTACTTACGTTAGTACTATGGTAGAGTGTTTTTGATAATTACACTTCATCTTGCTGCAGGGAAGGTAAGGCTCAAACAAGTACTGGATCCTTCAGTTTCTCTTTACAAAGTTTCTGACTAGTCATAATCTATCCACCAACAAAACTGTCACCATTCTTATGGCTTGTCATCACTGCTGCTGCTGCAATGACTTTATCCATTTCGTAGTGTCCAGGATCTTGACATTCAATAAATATATCTGTTCTTAACAGTTGACAAGATAATCCATTGGTGTTTTTATGTTGTTGATCCAGATTGTTGTACAGTTAATTTCTACTGTGTTGGAGCATCGCTTAGGAGAGTTGCCATTGATGTGCTTGGTCCTCTGCCACAGAGTAGAAATGGGAATAAATACATCATAATTGTGATGGACTATTTCATGAAATGGCCAGAAGCATATATTGTTCCTAACTAGATGACATAAGTTTTAGCTAGGAAACGTGTAAATGAATTTCTTCAAAGGTTTGGTGTGCCTAAGGAATTTCACTCAGATCAGGAACAGAACTTTAAATATTCTTATTTATGGAAATGTTGCAGGTCCTTGATATTAAAAAGACCAGGACAACAGCTCTTTTGATAGCAGGTTGGAAGAAACAACTGCACACTGTTAAGTCAGTTAACCATTTATGTAGATGGACATCAGAAAATTTGTGATCAAGATCTTCCAGTGTTATTGATGAGTTATCATACAGCAATACATGAAGTTACAGGCAACACATAGTCAATACTAATGTTTGGGAGAGAACATAAAGTACCATCAGACTTTCTGTGTTCTCATCTAGATAATAATCACCCAGAAGAGCTTTACACAGAATATGTAAAAATATTAAGAAACACCACTGATGTCATACATGGCTTTATCCTAGAAAGACACAAGAGATAAAATGAAATGTTGTTACAATGTTAATGGTGATAAGACTGGATTTCATCAAGGTAATATGGTATGGCTGTGTAATCCTTGCCACAAGAAATGATGAATTCCAAAGTTAAGCAGATGCTGGTAGGGGTTATATATTGTACTGTAAAGAACTAATGATGTGATTTACAGAATCCAGAAGGAAAGGCAATTCAAACCAAAGGTCATCTATCATGATCATCTATAGAAGTGCATAGGTGAGAGAACAGCCAACTGGATAACTCCAATCTCATTTGAACTGGACTTATATCCATGCTTTCAGATAGAAGCTAACAACTGTTCCCCCCCAAATCAGCAGTAAAACACATAAAATCAAAGGTACCAACTCATGTTAATGCACAGGAACTACGACATTTTTACAAAGATGTGTTATTTCTCACTCTGTTGGCAGAGTCATATCTGATCACGCCAAATGCATTATCATTCACCTCTGCCTAACCTCAAAATTATGTGCCACCCCTAGTTGTTTTAATAGTACACTTATCCTCTCGGAAATTCTTATAGCTGTATCACAGATCACCAGCCTCTTGTTCGTTCTGGTGGATTTACTGCATCCTCCAGTGACACCTTCAGTATTTTCTTTGTCACAGATGAGGATGACTAGCAGTTAGGCTTAAATCCATGGATCAGGAACAGCCTGAGATCCCTGTAGAAATCACTCTACTTGGTTTCAGGATTTCACTCACTATAGCAACTTTCATCTTCTGCATTTCCTGCCTGCTAAAGTTTAGACCAAGAAAGATATATTGTTCAGTAACTCGGAAAGTCTCACGATACAGTTTTTCTCCTTGAACCTGTAGTTGGATAGGAATTGTACACATGGACTTTCACATAAGTAGAAAAACCAACATTCAGAAAAGGACTTTCCCTGAAAAATACTACATTCTCAAAATCACAATCTCATTTTAGTAATCAACTCATCTTCTCACCAATATGTCCTTTTCGGAAATTACAATTTCCAAATTTAAATTCTAACGTTGGTACAATGGGAATACAAAGAAGTATAGAAAAACATGCCAAAATGTAAAAAATCTGCAATAAGAATAGTAAATCCTTACCTTACCAACCTACTTTGTGGTATATTCAGATACACTAAAAAGAGGTTCAACGGAAAATGTTTTGCGATCTGTATCTAAATTGGACAGACCAAGTAAAAGTAAAAAAGTGGACAATGACATTTCCCCAAGAAATAAAAAATAATTATTGAACACACAAAAGCACTCCATTAATGGTTCAGTAGCTGATGTAAGCAGTCTACTGGACGATGGACAGTCGCTACACTGACAAGAATCAACCCTTTCAAAAATAATACTCAAACCCAGACGCAGCTAATTATCCCAGAGGATATTATCGCTGTGTCAATTAGTAATGAGAATCATTAAAAAGGGACAACAGAGTCTTCGACACTTGTAGCTTTCTACATGATTAGTCTGTGGAGTTAGAACGCTAGAAACCGAGTTTCGATACCCTAATGGGCAGAGCACAAATAGTTCATCGTGTAGCTTTGCGCTGAACTTCAAACAAACAAGATCAATGCATTTCAAAGCTAGTTAACTACAGTCTATACGTGGTTATATGTACTAATGCGCTTATGTGCCAAAATATCCGTAAATCACTTTTGCGTAACAATTTCTTTTTTATCAAGGGAAGAGGCTTTCAATGCATCTGAAATTATAAGATATCATATACACATGAAGGTATAATAATTGAGTAAATTAATGACAAACTAGTGACACTACGCTATATATATATATTATATATATTTTCGAAAATGTTGACGAATGAAAATAAACAATTTATAAACGGACTTTCGTTAAAGTCATAAATTGTTGTTGTTTTGGTTTAAACAAAAATGCATAGTTTGTTTCAATCTGTTTTATTTGTGTTTAAGTGTAAAACTATACAATGGGCTATCTGCGCTATGCCCATCACGAGTATGCTGAATCTCTAGTGAGCATATTTTTGTAAAACTACCACCTGTGGTGTCAGGAGAATCGCAATCATCCTATACCACTACAAGTTTATTATCGCTGTTCTCAGTCAGAAATAGTTTTCAGACCATAATATATTAAAACAAAATAATATTAATTTGTTTTTAAAAGTACATACTTTTTTATCAAAACCTATAACACAGATTTAAACCTCTACTTATTCAGACTAGTCTTTTCATAGTATTAAATAATATCACAAAACAATCAATTAAATAAAGAAAACTTTCTTTTGTAAATCGAATTTGCCAAAATTTAAAAGTTTGTGCCATTCTTGAGTGTATAAAAACATACTAGGTGGCGTTTTCAGAGAGAGGTGTGAAGTTATATTTTGAGAAGTGAGTACGTTGATTATTAGTTGCTTTTGAAAATGCAAGTATCGAAAGAAGTATTAGAAGGCATTTCTTTACTTGGAGATGTAACTGTGTTTCAAGATGACGTATTTAAGCAGCTATTGGATTTAGTTTTTGAGGAGGTATTTACGCCACTTGCATGCTCAAAACTGCTCAGTGTACCTGTAGTTAGTCCAATGGTTTTGAAAAAGGCTCACGCTGCAGTTGTAACATTTGCTTTTGATGCAGCAAAATGGAACGCGGATAACTTAAGTATAACTTCAATTCTTGAAGACTGTAAACTTGATTCAGACAGAATATCTAATTTTCTTACTTTATATGATAAAAATAAAACTAAAATGCAGTCGCATCTCAGCAATGTAGGAAGTTATCGTCCTCATATAGTGGATGTGGATTGGACAGAACATTACGTAATTAAAAGCAGTAATTTGGAAAGAATAAGTCTTCCTAGTTACATTATTTCTTTAAAAACTGAATCATTAGGCCAAGATGGGTCTTCTAATTCCGATAGCACGCAATTCGTATGTACATTGGAACAACTTCAAGACTTGGTTGGACAGCTAAAAGATGCTGTGAAGTCTTTAGAGAGAATAAGCCAAGGACAATAAAACTGACAAAGAAATGTTTGTCATTACTTTGTACCTCATCATAAAAACAAAGATTACTGTATTTTAGAAAGTAACTAATGACATGTAACTATGATTAGGAACCAGTCATGAATTTTTGAACAAGGTTATGAAATGCAAGCAAATGAAGTTGCATGCCAGTGTGACAAACTTAACACCAGTAATATAAGTAATAGTAACAGGTTAGCTACATATGTCATAGTTAAGTTTTTTATTCTAAACCAAGAGGAAAAGTATTTCTTTGTGTTGCAGATTTGTTTCCATTGGTACAGTTATAAGATTTTGGAAAGTATGTTATACCATTTTTTAACCAATCGCAGGCTATATTTTGCAGTATCCTAAACAATTTTATGATAACTTGTCATGTTACATTGATAATTAATTTGCAGATTTTTATGCACACGTTTCTGTGACAAAAATATTGTAATGCAAATTATTTTTTTATTTCTGATATCACTTTTCAGTATGATGTTTAATTTTCTATTATAAATGTAGTATACTAATCAGTAATAATGAATAGATAAATTTGTTTCCTGGAAAATTTTTCTTTAGGAAGGGATAGGTAAGTTATTTGTATTTACCATATAATCACCATAATGAAATTCAGTTCAAAATAGTATATGCCAAACTTAAGTACAGGAATAAATCTGTAAGTAGTAACTAGAAACCAAAATTTTCTCCTATTCATCTTTTTAAAACTCTTTAATATACTTGCTTATTTCTTTAGCTTTCATTATTTTATAAATCTATTCTTGTCCATCCATATTTCTTTTTAGTCTATTCAAAGGTTTGTTTATTGTATGCCTATCTTCACATCTCCAGATGTATTCTGTAAGCTCTTCTTCGTTCCTGCATCTTCTACATTTTTGTTCTTCCAGCACACTTATTAGTAAATTTTTTGTATTATAGATTTTCTGATTTTTATTAAATGCTATTGAAAGATGCTGTGAAAGGTAGTAAGAAAAGTTTTTTTTATATAATTTAAAGATCCCTTGTGCACGTGTCCTTTGAAAATAGATGATGTTACAGATTTTATTTTAATATGAGAGAGAGAATTACTATTTCCTTTCTTATTGCATTAGACATATCTAGTTGTTTATAATCAACATGTTTTTGTAGATTTATGTTGTGAAATGAATATGTGTAATTTTGTAGTACCACCATAAGCAGAGAACTTTAACAAACTATTGCTTGGATTGGTTTTTAGCAGTGTTTGGTAGATTTGCTATTTCTCCTCTGATTAGTCTTGAATATATATATATAAATAGCTCGATAGATAGATACATTGGTAAGTGTATAGTAACTGAGCAATTTATATTTTGCTCTAAAATTATCTAGCTCAAAGGTAAGGATAATATATGATGCACAAAAATGTGTGAAAAAGATAAATGTAAATGGTTTATTAGACTACACTGTTTTATTGAGTGTTATATAAGTAAAACCTATTAACCACTTGGTGGTTTAGTACCACATTTCCTAGGCTCGTCTTTCTTTCTAAGAAGTTAATAGAGACATTCAGAATATCTTAAGAAATATTTGATAACTAGAGCTACACAGGTCATTGCCAGAGGGGTAAGACAAATTTTGTACTTGATAGAAATAGTAACAGTTGAATTGTTTAGTTAATATATTTTGTTTTTCCTTTGTATTTAAGTACAAAGCTACATAATGGGCTGTCTGTGCTGTGCCCACCAAGGGTGTCGAAATCCAGTTTTTAGTGTTATAAGTCTGCAGTCTTACTGGTGAGCTGCAGGGGAGTTAGTTAATATGTAAATTAGTCTTGATTTGTCCAGTGATTTCTGTCTTGTGATTTATTTGACCTCATGATTTGAAGTATATAAATATTTGATTCAAGACTATTAGTGTGTATTACCTTGCTTCATATAAATAAAAACACTTGGTGTAGGCAGACACAGTAAAGACATATTTTAGTAATAATTAACTGTCATAGTTGTATGATATGCTGCCTTAGAATTGTTAATGAATAGCACTAATCTACTAAATAAATGAAGATTGTAGCAAGTCTCTAGGAGGGGTTAAGGTAATGCATTATTATGATTTTATGAATTCAGCAATCACTTTTTACCCCATTTATTTCACTTACTGATATATCCATAAGGTAATTTAATGAGAATGGATTAGAAAATCAATTAGTTCATTACATTTGTTTGAGCATGAACATATACACACCAACAATCTCTTAATTGTTTTCATTGTCATATATTTCAGTCCAAAAAAATTATTGGTTTTCATCATGCAGAAATACTGCATTAACTTTATGAGGGAAATTAGTTGAAAAGTATGCTTTATATGTAAAAAAAAGAATAATAATATGCATATTAGTGTTCATTTAAAAAAAAAATAATATTATAAAATGTCTGTAATGTAAGAACCATTATTTTAATTCAGTGGTTTTATGGCATTCTAAAAAAACTTTCTGTATTAGAATAAATAATTTTTATTTACAGATGATGAAATTTTAACATAAAAAAATATAGCTTTATTAGCATTTTGTTTTGTGCTGTTTGAAAAGAAGCTTAATTCTAATACTGATATTTATCACATATAATATACATCAAATTATTTAAATGATGCATATCAACAAGTCTATCAAATTTTTTTTATGCTCCTCAGTTAATATATGTAGAAAATGTAACAATTAAATATTTTAACCATGATTATATGGATTACTCATTTTATGTATTTATAATGTGTCTTTTACTAGTTGTGGGCTTGGTTTAAAATCACATTAAAAAGAAATTAGTATAAAAATTTGAGGTTTAGTTTTATAACACAAGTTGAAACAATTTATGAAAATGTAGCACTGATGCAAAGTAGTTAAAACTTTTTTTAATAGATGAATATGTGATACAAGTCCATTATTTCTGTACTGCTAAAACATATTGATATTAGCCTAATAGAGTGAAAAGGGACCTCTATTAATTAATAATTGCAGTGTATGGATCCTAAATATTTAATTTAGAACCAATAAAACTGGGCTTGATTAATTTTAATGAAGGACATTACAGAGAGCTAAATAAAGGACATAAGGAATAGATGGAGTTTCAGAATATAATGTAATTTAATCACAATGTAAATACCAAGTTGTCATAAAACATTTGATATATTGAAAACTTCAAATATATATCAATGAACAACTACCTCCAATATTTATTTTGATGTCCGAATTTTGCTAAACTATATTTCACAATCATTAGCATTGATTATTTTTAATATTTTATTTATAATTACAACGTGTTTCAGATAACTCGATTAGCCAAAATGTCAAACAACTAACAAAGTTTGCATCATGTTCATGGGAAAAACCAATCTAGGATTACAATAAACGCCGTACTTCCCATGCTGAAGGAAACACCGTACCTAGAAAATACATGTATGTGTGTAATCTTATAATTATGCTCTATATTGAAGAGTTCAGTAATAGTGTACGTGAGGTTCATGTATTTACTGATTCTGCCAAGTTGCGCTTACGTACGTTAGATAAATACTCAAAGAAAGTGTATTTTAGCCCCAAACTACGCAATAGATTATCTGTGCTGTGTCCGCCGCAGGGATTGAACCTCAATATATTGCGTAATAAGTTTATAAACTTACCACAGAAGGACGAATGATGGCACTTCGGGTGTGAAGTATACCACTTACAAATGAAGTTCAAAAATGCAATTCTGATCACATTTGGTACGAATGGAGGCTTATTTTTAATTTTCATTCCAAACATTCTTCAATAGTATAATATATATATATATATATATTGCGTGAATTAAAAGCAGTTTTTTCGCCAAATATTATTTACAAATTATATACAGGTTTCTAAATCATTGTAATCTTGGTCTATGAATAGGGAACAAAAATTCACAAATTTTACTTCTTAATCTTAAAGATGCGTAACCTCTCGTGTGTCTGTTTCACACATCCCCCCCCCTTTTTATCATGTAATAACTTGGAGAATAAGAAGAGTACTGACTGTATTTCATATGTCATGAAAATATCTAAATATAGAGCTGAGTAAAAGATCACAATTGTTAATTGTTTTACGGGTATCAACTGTCTGTTCTTCTTTTTTACAACAAATCTATATTAAGGAAATAGAATATATTAGCCAAGAAATATTTAACACCACTAGCTAGTATGATACCTAAACAACATTATCATGTATCTGCCAGCCAAAGACAGGTATTTTTAGATCAGCATGAATAGATAACGTTATAAGTATTTCTAACAGTTGCTGGATACAAATGAAATTATTGTCACCGTTAAAAGAGCCAGTTTTCCATATGCTTTTACTTGCTTGAACTGATTTCTGGAACGAAGTAATATTCGTTCTAAGAAGTAGTAAAGAGGCTTTTAGAAGTAGATATATCTTTTATGGAGTTGGTAATCTAAGTACTTTGGGATATCGCACTAGGACTTTGATCTGATTTAAAACTTGGGTATCAATATGATTCTGGATTTTTTAAACTCCAGATCTCTTCTTTTTTTCTTTTTAACCTACCGTCATCTCGTGTAGACGTTAAGATACCTTCTTTCATGTCCTAGCGACCAGTCAAAAATTCAAAACTGATGAGTAAGTAACAATTTAAGCTTACACTTTAATTATGAATAAAAATTTTGTTTTCATTTGCTGTCCATGTCCAAAAGTATCCTCTTCATAACATTTTTGGTATCCGCATTTTGCGAATACTTCATTCTTACCTATCGTAAATCTGTGTACTTGCATATAATATTATTGTAAGTAGGGTATATAAAGATAAATGCATGAATTATATCAAAAAATTGTGTCAGAAAGTATACAAATCTTGTTGATGAATTTTTGCACCAATAACTAAACTTACAATAAAAAATAAACTAAGGCAAAGCGTAATTATAAAAGAAGTAAACTGTATTTGACTTAAAAGAAGAAATTATCACGACGTTCAGGAAAATCTGTATAGTATGAAGCTCCACAAAAACCCTTCTGTAGTACAAGAAACAAAATATTTATTGTATATGAAAAAAATGCTAAAGATGATTCGATACTAGTCGGTTTTGTTGTAATCATTGAATGAATGGCTGCTGGAGGAGAGAAGAATCATACCACATCCTAAATGACCTTTATCTGCACTCGTATTCATTTTTAATCCCCAGTTCATATCAGCTTTTGTAAACATTTTAACCACCTCTTCACTTGAGTACACCCACACCTCAAGGAAAAAAATGACAAGAAGAATAGTGAATAAAGATTTTTGTTCATTTTTGGATATTTGCAGAAAGCTACACGAGGACTATATGCTTTATCTCTAATTTTGAATTGATAGAATAAATTGAAGGCAGCTAGCCAACTTTTGGACAATTGTTTTTACAACAACAAAATGTGACCTATGTACCTAAAGATCCAGAGTCTGGCATATTAGTTTGTAAGTTATGTGTGACCCAGCTAAAGCAAATCACTAAGGCGTGTAACCTGAGCCCTAGGCGAGGATTAATTCGATCTTATGGCAGTCTATTACATTAACAAACTCTAGGACACCTGCACGAAAAATATATTAAAATATTTACGAGAATATACAATATATATTATATTTCAGTAAAATTTTCGTGTAGATGCTCTACAGGTAGTTAGTGCCATCGCTGTAAATCTGATATAGAAAGTTTGTAAACTTACGTTAATTTTTCAACTTCGACATTACGTGCAACAATGATTATTCTGTCAGGCTTATACTTGTTTGGCTCTGTATCATGCTTTACTGGATTGAGGTCACACTCATTTTGATTGCCAGTACAGGAACTCGTACAATTCAGTGTGAGTTAGGTGCCTATCCTCCATGAATATGAATGACATAGTTAATCTAGAGATTGTGGTATACTGCAATAGGACTATGGTCTGATCTAACGACCTGGTACCATCATTCATCTTATTTCTGTTTTCATGTATAAATGTTATTTTCTTCAGAAGTCAAAGAGTTAATACTAAATATGGAGGTGGCTAGTGTTTACTTCTTTCCGAATGTTTGCACAAAGATGCACATAACTACCCCTAATTTTGAACTTACAGACCAGAGAGATGGCCGCTACTCAACAGAACCCACTTGTGTTTAAATTCGATGACGAGGAACCCACTTTGAGACTAATAATGGCTGGAGACGGCTTGTACATTTGCTGTTATATTAAAGTTTTTCTTCATTACCCATTCAAGCCGTCTCCAGCCACTTGTGTTTGCTTGTTTTTCCTTTGCTGTTCACAATATCGGACTTACGAAAGAGCTGACAAGAATGTAGCTACTGGATCCCACAGGCTTTTGAGACCACACAGACCTTTGAAAAATTTGAAAATATGTACAATACCATCGAAGGACGCCCAGTAGGCTTAATCTGACCCTGGCTGTTTATGTTCGAAATTATTATCTACATAAAATTTTCGTACCATAATGCATTGTGGGTACTTGAAATGTTTCTGTTGGACATTACTGTATCCGAATACCACAAACTATAGTCATGCAAAAAGTTCAAGCACAAATGCTGCAATATCTTTCGCGTCTCCTTTAGTATAAGCCTGAATATAAATCAATGAATAATATTATCGGCTTCACACAGCCTCACACAAGTAAAGTGATAAAAACATTAACTGAATATCAACTTCAGATATCCTGTACAGTAACTTCCATGGACTTTATTATATTTTTGTGATCTGGGAAATTATCTTTGATGTATGAATTAAATCTTTATATAACTCCAGTAATTTAAATAAAAGTTTTTTAGTTGTTGTATTTTGTCTTTTTGCTGGTATTATAAACAAACAATACTATATATTTATAAATATTGTGAAGATGTGTGGGAGAAAAAATTGCTGTTTAAAGTCTCAAAAAAGAACGACATTTTCTCAGAAATGTTAAACTCATTCTCACGAAAGATTATTTTAATTTTTTTTAATATCGAGTTCTCAGTATACAGCAAAACAACGCACACATGTAAATATATTTTGTTTTGTTTTGTATTTCAGTTATATTAGATATACATTCATTCGTTCATTATATGGGATTATAATATCAGAAGTATTGAAATTAATTTATCTGCAGATTTTTCAAACTTGACGCCAAAAAATGTCATTTTTTTAACGTTATGGGATAATATATTATTGAAGTAGCCAATATTTATCTACATAGTTTTGTTGACATGAAAGAGAAATAAATCTAAATTACTCATTTGATAGAGGGCCACAAATAAAATCCTAAACGCAATGGCGGAAAACAGAGAGATGGAGAGTGACAGAACCACCCAAGAAAATATTGATCTAAATAAAAATGAATGTTCGGGAGATCAGAAGGGCCAAGATCCTAAAAATGTTCAAGATCTAGCACACTGTGTAAGTATTAGGCTATCACTTTTCACCAGCATATCAGATATAAGTTACAAATACAAGTTCTAGACGTGGATTCTTGTATTTTGTAAAATAATTGTAACTAAAAGTAAAAATTTTTAATTACAGATTCTTCTTAATATCTGAATACACATAAAGCTACCGAAATGCACTCGTTATATAAAAATTATTAAAATGTATATTATTATTATTCTCTTGGTCAATATTAGCTTAGGGTAATTATGCATCCCCAGATGAGGAACGTTGTTCCTGAAATTGTAAAAGTGTTCCATATTCAAAAACTGAAAAAGTTAGCTTCTGAAACACCCTTACGTTTAATTTATTATGTTTATTGTGTAGTTATCTACAACAGAAATACGTTAGAATAAACATTTAACCAGTTAGTATTATTATTATTATTAGCTTAATTATAGCATCATAATAAAGTGATATATGGTGACACTGGTGCCATTTCCTTCCACACATTACCTAAAACTAGCCTATAGTACACATGAACTGATAAATCAGTAGAGATTGAGGTAGGGTGTCATTTGAAAGCTAAATTTATGAGGATGGTGGATTCATGTAGCAGATATGCCTCAGAATCATGTTTTGTTTGGTGACCTAATGAATTTTCAGGCATTGCTTGCTGTTTTGTAGTAAGGACCACTTATATTTCACCAGTTTTTGCAACACCTACACGTTCTTATAGCATGTTCTTGAGCTATTTCTTCACAAATTTATGAGATACAAGTACTAGTGTGGTTCAAATGGATAGCTAAAAGCCAGAGCTTAAAAATACATTTACAAGCTACTCATTGATTAAGGTCAACAATGTCTATGTATCCTTCATTTTTGTGACATTTTAAAATGTTTTCCTGTTAAATCATGTCATTTGGCTTCTTTTGAGCTCTTGGTAATGAATTTGACACTAATAAAAAGACACCTGTTATGGAATCGATATGTCTTTTGAAGTTGCCAAGGAAATATTGTAAAATGAGTAAAACAGAAAAATACCCATCTGCAGACAATATAAGACAATGCATTCTTTTGTGAAGTATTTGGACCATAACTTCTACATTATAAAAGGTAAATGTACAAATGAGGTAACAATGGATAACTTAGACATAGGACTTTCACGTGTGTGTGTGTGTATATATATATAGGTAGGTAGGCTTCTGTTCAATCATGAAATATATCAAACATGAATTGTTAGCCTTACCCTTCGTATTTGGTCATATATTATGTTTGTTCAGATGAGGTTGTGCTTTATGCTGGTTGTTGATACTTAAGTAATTTATTTAGTGCATTCAACACTTGTTAAGGGTTCCCACATCGAGGAAAATATTTAGATTTTTCTTTTGTATTTTTCAGTCCTGGAAAAACCAGGCAAAAAAAAAGCAAATGTCCTGGAATATCACTGATTAATTTAGGTAATTCTTTAAATAATTAATAATATATATATATATATATAATATAATTTAAGGACAACAAAGAAACTGTTGGTCCATGTAGGTTGTTCCATAATGAAAATTAAAAAAAAAGGTAAAATGCTCAGAGTTAACTCTTCTCATTCAAATGTTAATCAAGCCTTTCCTTAAACTCCCTTAAACATCTACATCCACCACATTTGAAGACAACCCATTCCAAAGACCAGCCACCTATCTTAGCTAAAGATGACTTCTACCATACCATAATTGATATTTGTCACTTAGTCTTACCATTCTCACCATTAAGTATGAAAAATGATGATGCATCAATACTATCAGTTCCCTTAACAAATACCTCAATTAGATCCACCTCTAACTATTCTTTTTTCCAAATGAAAAGAGTTTCAGAGATCTTAACCTGTCCTTGTATGACAACCTTTCCATCTCAGGTATCATCCTAGTAGGCTTCCTCTGAACTCTTTCCAACAATTCAATGGCCTTATTTTGGTAAGGCACCCAAGACTTAACAAAATACTCCAAATGTGGCTCAATCAATAACGTATACAATGAAATTATAACCTATTTAGAATTGTATTCAATATTTCTGTAGATACAACCTAAATTTGTATTTGCTCAAACACTAGCAACAGCATATTGCTTGGATGGCTTTCATCAACTAGAACACCAAGACCATTCTCTTCCATAGCACTGATAAAGTGATTCCCATCAAAATTATACTTATAATTAAAATTATGATATCACACATCCATTGCATTACCTTGCATTTATTATAATTAAAATTATCTGCTATTTATTTGACCAACTTGCCTAATAATCCAAATCCTTTTTGTAAAGCAACCACAATGATCTCACAGCCAACAATATGTATAAGATTTGTTATTCTTAAGCCTAACTGATCCTGTAAGTGTTTTAAAATCATTGTTTTTGATTATAAATTTCTTGTAATGTTTGGTTATTTCTTCAAACAAAATGACCAACATGATATTTACTTATGTACTTAAATGTGTATATGTACCAGCATATTCAGTAGAAACCTCATAAAAGTGATAAAAATTAACAATGTATAATTCCTTACTATTAATAAGCCTATTTTGTTATTAATTTATACATGTTTTAGTTGTTTTCTCTTGTGTTTGAATGCCATAATTTTTTTTCAAAACAGTATTTTCTCAAACATTAGAAACTTCTAAAACCTGAGAATTTTCTGTATTGTTTTATTCAAAGAAAACTCTTGTTGATTTACTTTTGCACACAGCATTACTTTTTAATACTCAACCATTCTTGGTGAAAATTACCGGGTTCAAAATCTTGTTTCTTTATAAATTTGTTGCCAATTTCAAATGTTATTTTTTTTAGCTAAAAACTGAAGTTAAATTGTCACTGTATTTTTAAATACATTTAACAACTACTTTAAATCTGTATTCATGTATCTGTAGTTTTATCTGGCATAGTTTATTTATTTATTTATTTTGGTAATTATTTATATCATGTATTTGAGTTTTGAGTCACTACTAGTAATGGGGTAAAATTAAACCTAGGACTTGTAAAGTGCATGCCAGAAGTTAACAAGTTAACACATCATTATTGAACTGAAGTAATAAGTTAAAAGGTGATGTGGGATAGATTTGTATAATTAACGAAAAAAAGTTTTATTTTAAGATAAGTCAAGAAAAGGGAGCAAGTATCTGAGGGTTGAAGAGTAGCCTGTATTGCTCCTATTTTAAAAGATGATAACAGTTGCCCTGTAAATTATAGGTCAATCTTACTTCTGTAGTGGGAAAATTTTTAGAAAGCCAGAGAAAAGAAGCTTTACAAAATAATATAGTGAAATATGATACAAATGAAAGCCAACATGAATTCATCAAATAGAACTCTTCCTTTCTAATCTTTTAATTTGTTTTTCAAGGATGTTACCCATTATATGGACAAGGTAGATGTTGTATACTTCATGTATTTAGATTCCTAAAAATATATTTGATAAGGTGCCATGCAAAAGATTAGCTAAACAAATCATATTGAGGCTGGAACAACACTAGTTGAATGGATTGTAGAGTGGTTGGATGATAGAAACCATAAGGTTATTATTGATATAGTCCAGTCAAACTGATCCTTTGAAAAGTATTTCACTTGTAGACTAAAAGTAATGTACATTACATGTCTAACTGCTTATTTTGAACTGAGCTTAGTAATGCAATGTTTGTTCTTTTGTATTATCAGTATTTGAAATTTGCATGTTTAAATTATTAGAAAAACAAACAATTGTTTTCAAATGTATATATATATATATATATATATATTTACCTTTGAAAAGCACTACACCTCCAAAATTAGTTATTTCTCTTCATAGGGAAGGAGACGTAGTATTTCCTTTGTCTCTTTGTGTACTTATTTTCAACAATTATGTTCTGATGTTACTCCATCATTTTTGAAACTATTGTATTGAAACTTGGAGTGCATATACCTTAGTACTGTGTCAAAGAATAGGTCTTATTTGCTCAAAAATTCCATTTAAATTTTTTGTTTGCTCAAAAATTGTGCGTACAATTTTTAACACTGTGAATAAATATATTTATTCAGAAATTTGTTGTCCTATATACTATATGGTTACAATTTAGGTTACAATCTCCAAAGAAGTCTATCCCTCTGAAATATATTTGTTTTACACATATTTTATTCCTCCTACCCCTCCCTGCCTTTAATGCCATTCTCTTGAAATTAACTTTATTCTGAAGATCTTATTATATAAAATGGATGGGGAAGGGACATATTGCATTCCCTTGCTAATGTTGATCTTTCTGGTTTTATTTTGAAATTAAAAAAAAAGTTATCCATTCTTGAATTAAGTTCTTTTTACATATGACTATGAAAATGTGTTCGAATAAAGAAATGAAACAAAATATGGCAATTTATCTGGATTTTTTAAAAAGTAATATTCATACTCATAGCCATTCTACTGTATCCTCCATATATGTTTTTTTCCTACTTGCTCTTATGATATGTTAGATTTATTTAGTTTAGAAAGAAAACAAATTATACTTTAACAAACAGAAATATAAGCTTTATTTTTTTTAATAGGTTTCTATGGATGGTACACAATTCTATACAGTTACAATTGACAAACTATGTACATATCTGTTTGCACACAGCTTTTCTGCATTTCAATGTGGTGTGGCTTACTAATTTTACATATGTATGGGTTTGGCATGCAAAGAGCTCATGAGACAACATAGTAACTGCTAAAACAAATCTCTTAATAAAGATCAAAAAGGACACCAAGATCATGTATGAAAGTTAAACAGCAATACAGTTTGTACAAACAACAGCTCAAAAACACAAAATATTATTTTTACATATTGGAAATGAGTTTGAACAAAAGCCTCAAAAAGATATTTTGATATTTCTTGTTAAAATGGCCTCCACATCAATTCTTATAGTCATCATGCTTGAAGTTCACTTTTCTTATGATGTCAGTTATATTTGAGTTAATAAACAGTTCAGTAAGATTTTGATATTTACAACTTGTTGTAAATAGGGGAGAGATGCATTAAATGTTTC